TAAAGAAATATTTGTAATCACCATTCCCCAATTAACCAAAATTTTGATCCCAACAAGTCTAGACAAAATTCCATCACAGCATGAAAGAGCATCGCAAAATTAGTAATATTCCAAAGTTTCGTTGCAAAATGTTGTAAAATGCGGATAATATAGCCTTGCGAAGTTTGTAATTTTCAGTCATTTTGTAATTTGTATTACGCAAAGAAGTGGTAACCATCTCCCGTTTGTAATCTAAAATGACTGAAAATTCCAAAGTCTAGATTTGTTAAGTTCAAAATTTTGGTTAATCGGGGAATGGTCCGTTGGAATCATCCATAATTTATACACTTGAATGTGCCGTATATGATAACTCGGCGCTCGAAGTTTCGTATCGAAAGAGGAACAGCCGAACAGGTACGATGGCTAACACGAATGAGTGTACTTATCAAAAAGGCAGGTATGGCTGTGATATCTAGTATATAAAATTGTATAGACAATTTGCCTACAAATACGGTGCTAGATCAAAACGGCCCCGCTTCAATAATCATATGATTTAGACCAGGGGTTAAAGGGCAATGACAATGACATGCAGGTGACATTTAGCATGTGCGAGTGTGCGTCTCACTAAATTTGCGTGTTTATTAATAATGTTTATCAAAGAAGGCAAAAATATATACAAGACAACCTCACAAGTGAAATCTGTTCACTTACGCACTGCGTTGTGATGCAGTACAAGTACAAATACAAATGACAAAGGCCACATATTTTTAAAGCCTTTAAAAACTAGGTTACCCACAGGGCAGTAATGCTGCCTTTGACAGCAAAAGACAACCTACAGGGTGTTGAACGAGTCCTTCAGAAACATCCTATTATTGACAGTACCCCCTACCACTGACTGAGTATTAAAAATCGTCTGGCGTTGGACAGGGTAAATACTAAAGTAGGGGTCATTACTGTGCTGATGAATTAACAAGAGCGATTGGCAGATAGGTTTGTTAACCCATTTACTGGCAGTACCCTATACCACTGACGAGTAAAATCTTCTGGCGCTCGACAAGGGAAGGGCGCATTGCCAGCTAATGGGTTAAACCACCGTGGTTAAACATAAGATTTCATAATGCTCCAGGAAATGTAAACAAGCTATCAGTGTGACATCCCAGTTTATATATTTATATACTCGGAATATTGATTTCTCGGTACATACAAAATTATTTTAAAGTATAACAACCAGCGAAGACGTAAGGCACTAACTACCCTGCGCGGCTGCGCGCAGACTATATAACGACATATATATGTCATCCGTCTGGTCCGTCCGTCATTCATCCGTCCGTCCGTATCCGCGTTTTATCCTAACCCGTTTTTAATACGACAATGACATGCAGGTGACATTTAACATTGTGTCTCACTAATTAAAATTTGCGTGTTTAATAGTGTTTATCAAAGCACAGATCAATGAAAGCACTATATACAAGACAATCTCACATGTGGAGTTTTTTCACTTAATATCGTATTTCAGCCGCGTTTAATATCTGTGGCGCATTCGCTGCGTTATATTCATTTACATATATATACACAGAAAAGCATGTCATTGTCCTTGCAGACCATAGGCAAAAAGCATGTGTCAACCATGCACATACCAAATTTAAGCAATCGTTAAATCATATACATGTCATGGAAAGAATATGGAAATAATGTTGAATGAAAGCTAGTATCGCGTATAATATTAAAAGCACCGCATATAGTGCTCGAACCACTGAGTATAATTGCAAAAGCATCGCGTATATAAATGGTGAAAGCACAGCGTATAATACTGGAACCACCGCGTGTAATGGCGAAAGCACCGTGTATAATGCCAAAAGCACCCAACAAAATGCCGTTTGACCACTTTTATATGCCAGCTATGGCTTTCCATAAAAGAAGACCAAAGATGAAACATGATCACATTGCCTGTTTGCCTTATGCCTGACCGCGCTGCACCACGGTTAAAATTCACTGGTACCGTCATGCAATGCGCCAAATAGAAAATTTTGATTTCGACCCACAAAACAAAATTAGGATCTGCTGCCTTGCTCGCTCGCTTCAGGCTCGCTCGCTGCGGCAGCAATAATTAAATCATACGGCACATTCAAGATTTTAATATCGTATTTCAGCCGCATTTATACAGCTTGGCGCGCATTCGCTGCGTTATATTAATTTATATACCTATGTTATATACACATATTTATTACTAATAAATCAACACTATATGATAATATATACTCACAAAGTGCAGTCACCTTTTTATAAATAAACCTTTTTAAAAGCATGTCATTGTCATTGCAGACCAGAGGCAAAAAGCACAGCCACATATAGGCCTACCAGATTCATTAAGCAATCGTGAGATTATATACATGGAAAGAATATGGATATTATGTTAAAAGCACCCCGTATAATGACGAAAGCACCGTGTATAATGCTCGAACCACTGCGTATAATTACTATAATGGCGAACGCACCGCGTATAATGGCGAAAGCACCACGTATAATGCTCGAACCACTGCGTATAATAGCGAGGTTTAGCAAAGACGACGCGACGTCAAAGACGACGCAAAAATGGCGTAAAAATGGCGTAGGCACATCCATAGATGGGCATATCACGCCATTTTTACGCCATTTTCACGTCGTCTTTGACGTCGCGTCGTCTTTGCTAAACCTCGCTAATAGCGAAACCACCGCGTAACGTTCGAACCACTGCGTATCGACAAAATGCCGTTTGATCACTTACGCCAGCTATGGCTTTCCATAAAAGAAAACCAAAGATGAAAGATGATCACATTGCTTGTTTGCCTTATGCCTGTTTAATTATTAGGCAAGAATAGCCTGCCGGCCCGGAAGTAGTGCATTGTGGTAGGCCGAAATACGCCAAAACGATCGAGATTTCATCTGCCTTATATATATATACATATACATAAAGATTAGGACTGCTGCCTCGCTCGCTCGCTTCACGCTCGCTCGCTACGGCAGCAATTAACACAACGGGCCGTGCGTGAAATTAGACAGTTCAACTTTGCGCAAGTTATTTATCGCGGTTTCGCGATATGGAAATAAGTTCACCGCTTGAAATTACTTTTGAATACATTCTCCAGAATGGTCATCAATCAAATTTTTAGGTTTTTCATTTTAAAGGTAAAAAAATAAGGTTTTAAATGAGGTTTGTGATCTATCCGACCGCTGACCAGCCCCTTTGTCAGAAAAAACAGTGATCTTTCAGAAGCTATCATGGACGAACGGAACGGAATAATGTTTTCATTTTCCATCACGTACTAAGGAATATGACAAGCAAAAATGGTCTTTCAAAGGAATTCAATTTCCATCGGTGGTTAAGCGGCCAAAGCAGTTTGTTTACAAACTAGTCGTTCCAGCTCCAGATTGAAATTGTATCTGGAGCTGGAGCTGTCAATCTGGAGCTGTCTTGCTCGTCAACAATATGTTTGTATCAGACATGTGCAATCGATATATAGTTATTCGCGACGTTCGTGACGTTCGTGATAGGGACTATGACACTTCCAAAGCTAATAAACCTATATCTTAAGACATTTTATCATCAAACAATATACATCTACAGTCGAACCCCTATTAAGCGGACACCTTCGGGACCTCGCCTAAGTGTCCGCCATAAAGGGGTGTCCGCTTAAAAGGGGTAACTAGAAAAACACCGCAGGAGGCAAAGGTGTGTAATTAGGTGTGTAATCATCATGGCTGGCGGCTCACAGTCCTCCGTCCTCGTTCGTCACTTCCTCAATAATCTTGGCTCTGATGTCTTCGCGCCAAGTTGGTGTGTCACTGTCAATGTGCCATGTAAATTAATCTCAATTGTTATTTACTGTCGAATATTGAATACGTTTTATCAGACAATCTGTCCGCTTAAGAGAGGTTGATTTGCCCATTGGGACCTCTAGAAAGGTGTCCGCGTCCGTTAAAGAGGGGTGTCCGCTTAATAGGGGTTATGATAATAGTATTTTATTAAAGAAACCGAATGGGACCTGAGATATGTGTCCGCTTAAAGGAGGTGTCCGCTTAAGAGAGGTGTCCGCTTATAGGGGTTCGACTGTATATAGACTTATTAGTCATATTAGACTATACAAAACCCCGGGAAACATTTACTTGTTCTACTATACTAGATAACAGCAAGAAACAGCATGTATTTTATTTTTATTACTGGAGATTTGTTGCGTTAAATTTTCCTGTATTTATCTAGCGCATAAAAGAAAAAAGTACGAAAAAAAAATTAAAAATAAAAATAATATTTTCGTGGAAAAAATGCGTTTTTAGCACATTTTATGATCCACGACTTTACTCACGACACACGACTTTTAACCCACGACACACGACATATAGGGCACTCCTATTGTGCCTCTTTGCCCTCACGAGGCATAGATTATAACGCAGGTCTAAGCCCAAGGTCAACATGCATGACGATATTTTTATAAAATACAATATGATCCATTAATCCCATATATGTTTGTCATTTACAAGTTTAATGTCCACTTCATCACCAAAATACCCTACTTTCATGATGAAACATTCGGCCACAAGCATAAAAATAGGTACGCTAGGCATTTGAAAATTAGTAAATTTTGTTTAACTCTAATGTGTATAAAACCAAAATGTGTAAGTATTTAAGTGAATTGTGTCCAGTGACTCTTGTCCCAATATAGAAATATTTCTATCATAACATTGCTAAGTTTGCTTTAATGAAAACAATTAATTAAGGCACAAACTGCTTTATGATCTGAGAAATAAGTTTCTAAAATGTGTGAACTAACTTGCGACTCTGGTAGATTTGTATAAATATGATCTATTAATGTCCGATTGTCTGTAGTGACATTAGACACCAATTGCATATAGTTATGATCATTGATAAAAAATCTATCTAAAGGCCTTCTATTGGCTTCATCCAACCAATTGATATTAAAATCACCTATGAAAATGTTAAATTGAGAAGTACAAAACCTCAAAACTTCATCTAATGCTGCACACAATTATTGTACTGGAATTCTGGGTGATCTATATATACCAATTATAGTAACATGTGGAAGAATCATTGCTTTCATAATGGTTATTTCAATGCCATTGATATTATAACAACATGGATATCCAGGTAAGAATTCAACTCTGCTAAACACTGCCATGCCACCAAAGGGTCTGGTAATCAAAGAGTGACTATCATTTCTGAACAAGGTGTAACCATCAATATCATACATACTGGCATTATCCGAGCGCATACATCGAGTTTCAGAAAAAATATTGATGTCTGTATTAGCAAAATTAAAATCATGCCGAATATCATCAATGTGTTTATGCAACGACCGTGCATTTAGATAGCACAGTTTGAATGAGACATGGTCTGTCTTATAAATAGGAGTGACATTTAGTTTTAGTACACGTTCATTTCTCAAATGTTCCATTTCAGCTGCTACATGAGGATTGACAGCTATTTTATCTTCACATAAGTCAGTGATAAATAAACCTTCAATTGCTGTTACCCTGCTCAAACCAACATAATGTATATGTGGTATTGATCTTCTAGTGTTGAAATTTACCTTGTCACCTTGTGAACGGTGAATTGTCTTAGCTGCAGCGGGTCTAAATGGAAACTGTTTTCTAACAACTTGTGCAGTTTGATTTCTACCCACAGCAAACTGAGTTGTGATTGGCTTTATTGGAGTCCATGTGGACTCAATACCTTGGACATAAAGATGTCTATTTTCATGTCTGGTTTTCTCTCCAACATCTGAATGGTCAAATTGGACCCATATTATACCGGAAGGTTTATCTATTTGATTCAATTGTATCTTTTTAACAACATTACCAGCACCATTAGTCATGCCATCATCAATACGTACATCCAATGCTATCTCAGTTCTTTTCCCCACTGACAATAGAAGGTTTGAAGCAATTTGCTTAGTTTTCCTAGGATCATTTGGTATTTGACTGAAAATTTTATCTCGAAGTTGAGCTGAGTTCGCTCCAATAACACTGTCTATTGCTTTGATTGAAAACTTTTCACCAGTTGCTGCATTATGCACTCTTTCATTGAATTCATTTACCTTCTTATTTTGTATGAACAAGTGAGGCACATCCATGGGATCTTGGATGCTATTTTCTTTTATTAATCTTTCTTTTAGTTTCAAAATATCATCCTTAGCATGTTTTCCTTCATCATCACCTGCTCTAGTATTATAATACTTTAATGCTGCTTGATAAAGACACTTAGTGAGATGTGACTTGCCAACTCCAGCCCCTCCACTAAGAAAACAGTAGAATGGATTGTCAGAAGTTTTAATAAGATGCAAAACATGGAAGAAAAATTCTTTTTGTTCTCTGTTTAATTTTTGTACCATTCCTCTATAAACATCATCCTGTTCTTCATGTAATATCAGCTGCTCACTATTAGATGCAGCTGAAGGAATTCCAAGATCACCAGATAGGTCATAGGTTTCATTGAATTCTGGATGAAGGTCTTGTGCACCTTCATCTTCATCTTGACGCTCAATGTTTTGTGTTCCTGGGGCAATCAGGTCATAGTTTTCATCACTATCTTCCACATTATTAAGCTGGTCTTGAATCGCATTCGAATTCAGGTCTTCACTGCACATAGCATAGCATTTCATTTGCTCATCTATTGTATTTTTAACTTGAAAATAGTGTTCTTGGTAAGAAGCACAATTTCCTAATAAATCCGTTATTTCATCCCTCCATGAAGTGAATAACATGATTAGTTCACGGTAATGCTTTTCAGAATCAACTTCCTTGTTAAAACAGACACTTCGAATAATTCTGGCTTTAGATCTTTTTTTATTCTTTCGTTCGCTTTCTTCTTCCTCATTATTATCATCATTATCACTCAAGTTTGTCTCAAGTGGATAATTATCAATATCTAATTCACGTGATGGTTTGATATATGGCTTACCAGTGGAGTCGTACCATGCAGCCCAATCTGCAAGGGACACATTTTCAAGTTTGGCTGGTCGTTTTGTGTAACGCTTTATTAGACCAGATGCATAAATTTCATCAGAATCATCTTCCAAATCATTAATTTCTTGCAGTGGTTTTAGTAACTGAACTCTATCCTCAGGGGGTGAAGTATTTATAAATACTACTTGACAAGAAGATTTCCTCACTGGAAGTTGAAGTACTATATAGACTGCTTCTTGTGCACTTATTTCAACATTGTTTAAATTTCCAATATCTCTCACTTGTTGTTTAATACTGGAGTTTCCCCTTTTTGCTTCTTCACAAGCTGTTCTCAATAGCTCACTCATGCCTTTTTGAGCCTTGGATATATACGATACAATGTATATTGCACATGCATATACATCTAGTACAAACTGAATATCCATATTTGCACGCCATGCACTGAGACATGTAGCATTATAATTATTGATCCTTAGTTCGTTCGGTTTCCTTTTTAAGAATATAGTTGGTGTCTTGAGACTAGATTGAACAGCTAGCAAATAGTTTTGTTCTGTCAGTTTAAGATTTACAAGCAACTGGTCAAATGTAATGTCCTCACCCTCTTTCATATCATTCAGATGTTTCTTTATAAATTTCCAAGCATCTTTATGTTGATCAACTTCATTATCATCCATATCAATATCTAATGGATATAGAATTTTGGTTGATCTCATAGGTGGCTGTGGGTAATTAAAACGACACACACTTTTGGATTTCTTTCGACATGTGTGAGAATGGCGATGAACTTGCCTGTTTACAAGTGCAAGTAAATCTGGATTCTCAGTTGGCTTTTCACATGTGATTATCGTATCAATGAATGAAACAACATCACAATCAGAATCTTCCCCGAATGTAGGAGCATTTTCTAGCCATATTAACATGTGAATATGAGGTGATCCTCTTTGTTGATATTCAACCCAACCAAGCATAATTTTCATTTGCAATTTCTTTGTTTTAAAGAAAACATTTTCCACACACATTGCAGCCCTTCGGTCAGACCGTCTTAATTCAGATTTACAAATTTCACTATAATGCACTTTGGTTAGTCTATTTGTATTGTCTGGTCGCTTCTGTCCAAGAAATATACCAGGATATGCCAATTCCTCTAAGTATTTATCTCTAAATATACTCATAGGCCTATTGCCCTCACCAGGTGCAACATTTAAAATATGCTGACGTTCATTATCAGTGACAAAATCTGGAGATGTTAACATAGTGTCAGTGATTCCAGCAGGTACTTCTGCCTCGTCTTCACTCCAGTGTTCATCATCATCACATGCTGATGATTGCTGGGTTTTACATTCTGTATCATAATTCAAGTCCACAACATTTTCTGAACCCTCTGAAGTTTGATCATTGTCACTATCATCAAATAGCATTTGAGTATTTGAATTACCTTCAAGCCAAGTGTCATTGAAAGTTATACCTTCATCTTTATAAAGGTTACCATTATTTACAAGCCATTTGCTACTTTATTTGGTCTGACGTTTAGTGATAAAGCAGAACTTTTGTATTGCAATCTTCTCTTAAGGTTAACTTTAATTGTGCTGGTCTCATTTGGAAACCTTGGCAACATGTTAACAGTATTATAACAACATCTGCTGGAACATTAACAATGTTTCCATTGATTTTTAGTTGTCTACCTCTAGGACCTTGCATTAATTATTGAAATGCAATTCTCTAATTCATTTAGATCGAAAAATGAAGGTTTTTCTGGAAACTGCAGCCCATTTATGGCAGCACAAGGAGGCACCTTATTGTTTTTTAAATGCTTATTACAGGTTTTACACAACCACTCCACATTATTAACGCTTTTTCTATTTAACAGTCTTTTTTGAACATCAGGATTATTTTCTTTAAGTGTTGTGATGGAATGACACTATGCTTGTACCATAATTGGTCACAACAAGTGCAAATATAAAGAGGACCTTGTGAGACAACATCATGAAATTGGGATATTAAACTTTGTAGTGGTTCAATCTCACAACGTTTTTGTTTTCTATAATCCTTTGCGTGCAGTCTTTTCTTTTGCTTAGCCTCAATGCTCAGTGTTAAGGGCTGGAAACTCTCACTGGCGCGTTTACTCTTCATATATTCCTTTGCGTACAGCCTTTTCTTTTGCTTAGCCTCAATGCTGAGCGTTGAGGGCTGAGAAGTGTTATTGGCCTGTTTACGTTTTTCTATATTCCTTTGCATAAACTCTTCTCTTTTCCTTAGCTTCAGGGCTCTGTGTCTCATTAGCTCGTTTTTGTTTCATGAGTTTGTTCATATACTGTGTTCTTGTTTGCTTAGGCTGAGAGCTCTGGGTTGACTGTTCAGGATTTATCTCAACAAAACCTGACGTTGAAGTACATGGCAATGTTGATACATAGTGATACTCATCTATATGACCCAAATAGACATGAGTTAGTTGCTGTGTTGATGATACAGGTTGTATTATACTGTACTCACGAAACCCTTCATGTGTCTCTGCAATAGTAATTTTTAACTTAAGCTGATCAGCCACAGCTTGTATTACCATAGTATCGCCCATGTTCCTTGCATAGACATATTATTAAGGTATTCTAACCAAGAGATTTCAGTATTACTTCCAATGAATCTCTCAGGAATATCTCTCATATATGCAATACCAGCCATTCTAACTTCAAAGTGTCATTCAGGGTTACCATATAATTGATGTGACACAGCTCGAAAGAAACAGTCACCATCACCACCGACATCAAATGGTCTTAACTGAAAGCGTCTTAACCTTTGTTGCAACACTACATTTGATGACAACCTAGTTGGACTGTTGTTTTGAACAGGACCAGGATTTAATTCAATATCTCCTGACAACATTAGTGCCCTTTGAGATATGCGATATTGTTCATTGGCAATATTGCCTGCTATGTTTTGACTGTAGAACATATTACACAATGATTGTTTTGCTGTATTCATGTTTATGTCGACACATGGCTTAAAATATCCAAATGAATTGATAAAAATATGTTGTATTTGCACAAATTGAAAACAACATTGCTTGTAATTACTAGCTATCTTGTTCAAAATGGATGACTTGAGGACATTTCTTACAAAATAATGCGTTAAAAATTATCTATTTTTTCTCTTTCTCATAGCTAATATAATTCTCTTTAAAGGCAATCTGGACGGTGCACGGTCTCTAGATCGTTTAGCATTTGCTTGCTTAGTTAATTTCCGTACAGTCGATCTGTAACTAAATGCACTGCGATCCGAATTTATACTCGTATTAATATAGCTACTATATGCGTACGGTATAAATGTACAGTGTTATATGTATTAATTTGCTTGTTCTGATCTCCGAAGAGATTGGTTTGGTCTCCGAAGAAATTGTTTTGATCTCCGAAGAGATTGTTTATTTGCTCTCCGAAGAGATTGTTCATTTGCTCTCCGAAGAGATTGTTTTGATCTCCGAAGAGATTGTCTATTTGCTCTCCGAAGAGATTGTCTATTTGCTCTCCGAAGAGATTGTCTATTTGCTCTCCGAAGAGATTGTTTTGATCTCCGAAGAGATTGACTACTTACCAGATCAAGATGAGGATAAATTTCCATGTTGATAGTAGAATGGCGAGAAAATAACCCCGAAGATAGCAATTCAAGATGTTTTTCAAATCCAAAATGGCGAGAATACCTGAATAACACGAGGCCAAACCATGTCCGTTCGCAGGTTAGATGGCGGACACGATGTAACATAATCGCTGATTGGCTTAAATTGGCTTAAATTATATAAGCTCGTCGCTGAATGGCTATACGTGCTAACATACGGTAACATCACGTTTGCGATAGCATATATATCTGCTTCGCAGATACAAAAAGCGTTGTCCTACGTATACTACACCCTAAACTCTACTGTATACTAGTCTGAAATTATACCCAAAACACAGTTTAGACAGCCACATGCTTCTGCGTTCGTCGAACACAATTTTATCGTATAGCTGCCAGCATGGATAATAAAATAAATGGATAGGACTCTAGCTGACGTAAGCAAAAACAACCTAGTTGTAGTTGCAATCAGTGGCGTCACGCGTATTGCAAAGTTTTCGGCATTTTTGTTGTTTCGCTATACTTTCCGCTTTAAAAGAGTAATATTGAAGCATAAACTGGTCTAATTGTTTTAAAAACATGCCTAAGTCACGACAAAGTATTCAAGGTAAATGTTTTTCGTCTTTGTTTTGCATTTTTTTTACATTTGTAGCTACGAAATTGGCGTCCCCAATTTTAACGAAATTTGGGATGCATTTTTCACTGTTTAGTGCTTGAAATATTTGCTGAAATTGACTGGGAATACTTAGAGATTTCATCGTAGAATGGCGTAGTTCTATTCATTTGCTCGTTGACTAAAATGTTTAGCTGTATTATTGCTAAAAATGCCATTTTTGAGAATTTGGTTTGCAACTAGGTTTCAACATCCAATCACGCCATCAGCCCATTGAAAACATTAGGTCACGTCAGCTAGTTTCCTATCCATTTATTTTATTATCCATGATATTATACAGGGGTTTAGCTCACGGAAGTTGCGAATCAATCAAATAAATGAGTTTCAGTTAGGCCAAAAAAAAATATGTGGGTTTCCGGTTTCCCGACCCTACCTAGCTTTTGGACGTCGAAATCCCGGTAAGTGTTTCCACTTAGAGGAAAAAGTTTGTGGAAAATTGAAATTTGAGGCAATATTAGGGAAATTTATCTTTGGATGTGGAAGCACTGACTAAACAAAATGGCGTTCGCTTATTCGGAAAATTAAAAAAAAAAGTTTAAAAAAAAGAAGATAAAACCGACCTACCTTACCTAAGTTTTTATAACAAGAAACCGGAAACCCATATATTTTTTTTGGCCTTAGAGTGTATTTAATCCCAGTTCTTCTCTCCCAGAGTTATACGTTATGAGCAGACTTACCGTTTTCAAGCGAGACAATATCCACTATATCAGACAATGCTTCATTCGAGTGATCAGACCCATCATCTATCGAAATTAAATAAAATTAAATTTAATATATTTTTGCAAGCAACATTTTGTCGTGTTTATCTTATATATATACAGAATAGTGGAATCTCTATTAAAATGTGACTAACACCAAATATGAATTTTGCTATGGGTATTAAAAAAATATTTGGGTCATTCTAAGAAGAAATGTAAAATATCTTTATAGTAAAAAACCTCATCTTGGTTTTCACTGTCAAAGTTCCAGATATGATGTCATTAGGTGAATTTTTGGTACAAAAAACACAGGAAAACTAATTTGCAATTCACCTAATGACATCATATCCGCAAACTTTAACAGTGAAAAAGTTGATCAAGATGGAATTTTTCATAATTTCGTTTTCGAATGACCTAAATATTACACATACAAAAAAACATATTTGGCGTTAGTCCCACTTTAAGCGTACACCTTCGGGACCTCACCAATGTGCCTGCTTATCTCATCAATGTGTCTCTTAAAGGTGTTTGCAACAGCGAACATATCTGGTGGTAACGCACAATTAATTAAAGAACAGTAGTGATAAAAGATAAACATGTCAACGGAGGGGCTGGTTATGGTGTGTGGAACTTCCCTGCGAAGTTTCGAGGAAACAGTTTTACTTGCATCTGCTTGAAAGGCAATTTAAAGAAAGAAAAGTTTGTTTTAGGGGATTAGTTATTGGCGTTCATATACCACATACTGCAAAACATGAATAACAAATTTGTGTCTAGTGAATTTTCTTCAAATTGATTTCCACCATTGACTGTTATGAAAATTTGATTTAGAATATTTACATCATCAGTTACGTTTGTCCGCTTTAAGAGACGTTATTCCGCTGATTGGGACGTCCAGTCAAGTGTCCGCTTCCGCTTAATAAAGGTGTCCACTCAAGGTTCGAAACAGTCGCCGGCTTCCTAATTCAAATTAAGCGTCCGCTTGAATAGAGATAAAGACCAGAGTATTTTATTAAAGAAATCATTGGGACAAGAGGTATGTGTCTGCTTAAGACAGGTGACCATTAATATAGGGGTTCGACAGTACAGGATGTATAAAAAAAAGGTAATCGAACTTCAGCGCGCTATTATACGTGAATCACTCGGCGTATGAACAATTGGTTTTCATATTTGGAAAGATCAGGCTTTTAGCTATTGAATGACATGCTTTTCATGCCAAGTGGGGAAAAAATAAGCATGTACGAGGCCGATCGAAAATGTTAGTCAAAATCGCATATTTTCACCTCTGTGCCTAATTAAAACAATGCATAACAAAAGAAAAAGCAATTACAGGTAATCACGAACGTGTCGTAGCTTAGCTAAGATTTATTCCTGCTTAATAATAATTATGAATATGTGCGTCGTTTATTGAAGTAAAATTGATCAACTTAAGTACCAAAGGGGCTTCATTTTCAATGGTTTTAGACGCAACTCTCAACGGTGAAAATATGCGATTCTGACTAACATTTTTTATCCGATTCGTATTTGCTCATTTTTTATCCATTTGACATGAAGAAGATATCATTCAACAACTAAAAGCATGATCTTTCCGAATGTGAAAAAATCTCGTTCATACGCAGAGTAATTCAGATACAATAGCGCGCTGAAGTTCGATTACCTTTCTTTCATACACCCTGTATAACAGAATTATACGTCTTTACCTGGGGGTGTAATGGAACTGTTAAGTTCATTCTGAACGCTTTCTGGAATCTTTAGACTGAGAACTTGGATTTTCTGAAACACAACAATGGCATTGATGTCAGATGAGATTCGAGATAACCAAGTTACATGCAACTGATGCAAGAAACAAGAGCTAACAGCCTAACTGCAAACCAGGGTCAGAAGGTCTTGGGCAAGCTAGTATAGTAGAAAATTTGAATTTTTCCCAGTGTCTTTTTGCAATATTTGCCGACCAGATTTAATAGGTCTCTCTTTCCTATAACATTCTCTTTTCAAACTTTATGTGGTTTGACTATTTTTCTATTCTGTGGCCAAATCTTAGTTATCAAATCTCAAGCCGTCAAGCTTGCAAATTGCGACAGGGGACCAGGCATCGAAATAATTTTTTTGAGTTATGTTTCATATTGTCAAAATTGAGTGTCCACTAATTTCCTCAAACCCAATTGGTCAAAAATTTTCATATATATATCAAGCCGAAAACGCAGTTCTGGCTTTTGAAAGTGGAGTTTTGGCATTTGAAAACAGAGTTCTGGCTTTTGAAAACGGAGTTCTGGCTTTTGAAAACGGAGTTCTGGCTTTTGAAAACGGAGTTCTGGCTTTTGAAAACGCAGTTCTGGCTTTTGAAAACGGAGTTCTGGCATTTAAAAACAGAGTTCTGGCTTTTGAAAACGGAGTTCTGGCTTTTGAAAACGGAGTTCTGGCTTTTGAAAACGAAGTTCTGGCTTTTGAAAGTGGAGTTCTGGCATTTAAAAACAGAGTTCTGGCTTTTGAAAACGGAGTTCTGGCTTTTGAAAACGGAGTTCTGGCTTTTGAAAACGAAGTTCTGGCTTTTGAAAGTGGAGTTCTGGCATTTAAAAACAGAGTTCTGGCTTTTGAAAACGGAGTTCTGGCTTTTGAAAACGGAGTTCTGGCTTTTGAAAACGAAGTTCTGGCTTTTGAAAGTGGAGTTCTGGCATTTAAAAACAGAGTTCTGGCTTTTGAAAACGGAGTTCTGGCTTTTGAAAACGGAGTTCTGGCTTTTGAAAACGAAGTTCTGGCTTTTGAAAGTGGAGTTCTGGCATTTAAAAACAGAGTTCTGGCTTTTGAAAACGGAGTTCTGGCTTTTGAAAACGGAGTTCTGGCTTTTGAAAACGAAGTTCTGGCTTTTGAAAGTGGAGTTCTGGCATTTAAAAACAGAGTTCTGGCTTTTGAAAACGGAGTTCTGGCTTTTGAAAACGGAGTTCTGGCTTTTGAAAACGAAGTTCTGGCTTTTGAAAACGGAGTTCTGGCTTTTGAAAACGAAGTTCTGGCTTTTGAAAAGGTAGTTGTGGCATTTGAAAACTGAGTTTTGGCATTTGAAAACGGAGTTCTGGCATTTGAAAACGAAGTTATGGATATTGAACACAGAGTTCTGGCTTTTGCAAACACATTTTTGGCATTCGAAAACTTAGTTTTGGCATTTGAAAACGGAGTTCTGGCATTTGAAAACTGAGTTTTGGCATTTGAAAACGGAGTTTTGGTATTTGAAAAGGGAGTTCTGGCATTTGAAAACGGAGTTATGGATATTGAAAACGGAGTTCTGGCATTTGAAAACACATTTTGGCATTCGAAAACTTAGTTTTGGCATTTGAAAACGGAGTTTTGGCATTTGAAAAGGGAGTTCTGGCTTTTAAAAAGGTAGTTCTGGCATTTGAAAAGGGAGTTTTGGCATTTGAAAAGGGAGTTTTGGCATTTGAAAAGGGAGTTCTGGCATTTGAAAACAGAGTTTTGGCATTTGAAAACGGAGTTCTGGCATTTGAAAACGAAGTTATGGATATTGAACACAGAGTTCTGGCTTTTGAAAACACATTTTTGGCATTTGAAAACTGAGTTTTGGCATTTGAAAACGGAGTTTTGGTATTTGAAAAGGGAGTTCTGGCATTTGAAAACGGAGTTCTGGCATTTGAAAACGGAGTTTTGGCATTTGAAAAGGGAGTTCTGGCATTTGAAAACGGAGTTATGGATATTGAACACAGAGTTCTGGCTTTTGCAAACACATTTTTGGCATTCGAAAACTTAGTTCTGGCATTTGAAAACGGAGTTTTGGCATTTGAAAACGGAGTTCTGGCATTTGAAAACTGAGTTTTGGCATTTGAAAACGGAGTTTTGGTATTTGAAAAGGGAGTTCTGGCATTTGAAAACGGAGTTATGGATATTGAAAACGGAGTTCTGGCATTTGAAAACACATTTTGGCATTCGAAAACTTAGTTTTGGCATTTGAAAACGGAGTTTTGGCATTTGAAAAGGGAGTTCTGGCTTTTAAAAAGGTAGTTCTGGCATTTGAAAAGGGAGTTTTGGCATTTGAAAAGGGAGTTTTGGCATTTGAAAAGGGAGTTCTGGCATTTGAAAACAGAGTTTTGGCATTTGAAAACACAGTTTTGGCATTTGAAAACACATTTTTGGCATTTGAAAACTTAGTTTTGGCATTTGAAAAGGGAGTTTTGGCATTTGAAAAGGGAGTTTTGGCATTTGAAAAGGGAGTTTTGGCATTTGAAAACGGAGTTTTGGCATTTGAAAAGGGAGTTCTGGCATTTGAAAACAGAGTTTTGGCATTTGAAAACTGAGTTCTGGCTTTTAAAAAGGTAGTTCTGGCATTTGGGATGAAACGGAGTTTTGGCATTTGAAAAGGGAGTTCTGGCATTTGAAAACGGAGTTATGGATATTGAAAACGGAGTTTTGGCATTTGAAAACGGAGTTCTGGCATTTGTAAAAGGTCCAGTGCTCTAACCAACTGAGCTACAGAGGGTCCAGTGCTCTAACCAACTGAGCTACAGAGGCCTGTTGTCAAGCTCTAATTGTAAGTTGATGTATAAATAGTAAAGTGACGTCAATGTGAAGTGTATGCATGGGTAAATATACCTTACCAATATCTTGATGAATAAAATTTAGACTCGACATTTTCATCTACAAAATATCTCAACACATTTAGACACACTCTTACCTTTAGACAATTCAGATCAAGTGTTTGAGATAGTTTGCTGACTTGTGCGCTGATACAATGAGTGGGTTGGCATGTTAATATCGATATCTCCAGTTGACATGGCGAGTTCGTCACCTGTTGAGAATATTTGTGATGAATAAACACTCATGTAACATTATTACTTATCACTATTACCATCATCACAACCATATACTGTACCACCATCATCATCACCACCATCCGAGACCAGCATCCATCATCATCACCACCATCTTACCAACCCACTATCGATACCATGACCGTCTCTATCATTACCCCCACTCTCCTCTGCAGTCTGCAACGCTACTATCATGTTACAGGCCTTAAAATATCTTTTCCAGGGCCGTCTGACAAAATGTCCGGTGACGTTGAGTTTGGGTCGGACATATGTCCGGTGACCTTCAGTTCAGTTTTGACTCGGAAATAAGTCCGAATGTCACAAATGAATATCAGCACAATGTATTAATTCTGAACAGTAAATATTGTGAAGATATTAAGTAATTTGTTTCTTTAATACTTATTCCCAAGCCGAAATTAACATGCTTTCCAGAACAACAGTATTAAAAAAGACTTCGGCAACTTAAGCCCGTTTTCCACTTCACCATTTCGCTCTCCGCCCC